GAAGAATCCGATTAGAGCGAGACTCGAGGAGAAACCGTATAGGCCTGACACCACCATTCGTTGTATATAGTCTTTGAGATATTAGATGGATGAGGGACTATAGGTATATGGGAACTAAGGACTAATAGGTCCAAAGGATTAAATTTTCTTATATTATCTAGGGACTATGCCATAGTGGCCTAGTTCATCTATAGTCTATGAGTCGAGTGAATTGTTATGGAGATAATAATTTACTAAGGTAGAAAGAGTTCTGATAGGTATGACTCATAGCTAGCTCAATATTAGGCCTAGACGGTCACACACATATGGTAGGTGTTATGATAAGTAGAGGTTCTAATATGAGATATCTATTGGAGCCCCTATCTTATTAGATATCCAATAAGCCCCTGAATTATTGGATCCTATAGATGAGATCTAATAAAAGTCAATGATTGATTATTGGATAGATATCTACTAATCTAAGAGGCTTGGGTAGTTGGATGAAGATCTAGTACCTAATAGGGCACGATCCATTAGGGTTCAATTGACAAAGGGCCTCTATAAATAGGAGGGAACTAAAAGGGGATAGGCTAGGCCTTCTTGGCTGCCACCTCCTATTCTTCTCTTCACTTCTCCTCCTTAGCCAATAGGTATGGAGATTTGAGCAGTAATTCAAGGAGCGTATTCGCAGCCCTGCTATGTGGATCACCGATAGAAAGGATGACACTTGACCTTCTTTATTCTCTCTCACATATCTATAGGATTTCAGGGATATACGATCTCCCTAGGTAACTATAACATCACTCATTTTTAAAAATTTTGTAAGGGCTTGTTTATAATATAAATCTTAGCAATTAGATATGATTTGTGAAAGATTCATATTAAATTTTTTTTAAAAAAATAAAGGACATTTGTCACTAGCTAACCTAAGGATGGTGCCACCTATGCTTGTTCTATGGATGATACATAAGCTTCTTCCATGCATGCTTACCATCTTGTAATCCTTATATTAGTCAAACCTATTACAATTAGAGGAGAAAATAAAAGAGAACTTAACAAAGAAGCTACAATCAGCCTAGGCTTGAGAAGAGAAGGGAAGAGGAATTGAATTGAAGAAGAAGAAGCTTTTGCTTTGGCTTTAGGATTTGCATCAATTCCTCACATTTGGGGAATCATATTTTTCTAAGGCAAGTATTCTAACCCCATCCCACAACAATATTGATCTCTGATTTCATCCTAATTCTGAAAATTTTGGAACATTTTAGCTTCATACATGATATTTCTATCATTTGGGAATAAAACTGTGAATCTAAAATTTTTTGAGATTTGACCTTTTTGTATTGTTCTAGCTATAACTTTCGCCATTGATATGCTCCGAAACATTTCATATGCCATTGATATGCTTCAAAATATTTCATATGTTATTGATATGTTCCAAAACATTCCATATGTCATTGATATCATCCGAAATGTTTCATATGACATTTATATATTCTGAAATATTTCATACGCCATTGATATGCTCCGAAATATTTCACATGTCATTGATATGCTGTGAAACATTTCATATGCCATTGATATGTTCTAAAATTTTTATTTATTATTGATATGCTCTGAAATATTTCATATGCTATTGATATGCTTTGAAACATTTTCCTTTCGCTATTGATATGCTCCGAAATATTTTATATGCTATTAATATGCTCTGTAATATTTCATACGCTATTGATATGTCCCAAAATGCTCCTTACAATAATGATATGCTTCAACTAATCTTTACTCCTTTGTTATGAACAAAAAATTCTTCAAATGACATGATATTGTAATTCTGCAATCGATGAGCGGCTATCTATGAACTCTTGTATCCCTGCCTTTTTAAAATATTTTATTTATTATTAATATGCTTCGAAACATTTCATTCGCTATTGATATACTTTGAAATATTTCATATACCATTGATATGATTTGAAACATTTTATACGTCATTGATAGGCCCCGAAATGCTTCTTACGTCAATGATATACTCCAATTAGTTTTTACTCCTTTGTTATGAACAAAACATGCTTCGAATGAATTGACATTGTAATTCTGTATTCTATGAGTGGCTATCTATGAACTCTTGTATTCTTGTCTTGTATTTGGTACTTTATTTGTTTGAAACTGTCCTCTTTCGTCATAGATATGTTAGTATCTTGCTGAGCTTTATATGCTCACTACGCTGCTATATAAATTTTTCAAGATAGCTTATCGCTTACTAAAATGTTTAAATTGGGCTGAGGTAGTGGAAAGCTAGAAGACTTTGGACAAACCATTAGTGGATGATATGTTTTTGTTGTATAAGTATACTTGGTGTCTAATGAAATGTTGATGGTATATATGAACTTATGAGTTTTGTAAAAGTTTAAAGACCTCTTATGTTTAGGATTTTAGAGTGTTAAGTTTAATTTGTATAATGATGCGAATATGTAGTAAATATTGGTTTTGTGATTATATAGAATCCCATACTTGTGGATTTATGAAGTGGTTATTATCTTGATGAGTTGGTTTTAGATTTTTTGATTGATCGAGTAATGTGGTATATGATTTTAAGTTGTACAGGTTTTGTGAATTGTGGAATTATGGATGTAAATGACTTGAATGTTTTTTTAGTGTCCTCAAATGTGTGTTTAGATCCTAGAATAGATTGTTGATTAAAATTGTGTTTGGATCCTGGAATAGATTATTGATTAAAATTTTAATATTATCGATTTAAAACAGGGTCACCTCTTGAATGTGATAATTTGGGGGGGGTATGATAGTAATATAACTATCTCACATGTGGTTTTCAATTTTACAAATTTTTGCACATGACGATGAAACCTTTTTGTGAAATCTATGATTTTTCTTTTGTTCTTCTGTTGCATATGTGATGTCATCCCTAGATTTCCCTATAATTGGGTATTGGATCTCTATCTAACTATCCAAGCCTCTTAGATTAGTGGATCTCTACCCAATAATCTCTCATTGGCTCTTATTGGATCTCATTCATAGGATCCAATAATTTAGGGACTTATTAGATATCTAATAAGATAGGGGCTCTAACAGATATCTCATATCTGAACCTCTACCTGTTGCAATATCTACTATATGTGTGTGACCCTCTAGGCCCAATATCAAGTTAGTCATGAGTCATACTTGTCAGAACTCCTTTTGACTCAGTGAATTATTATCTTCATAATTCATATGAGAAAAAACTATAATAATAATAATAATAATAATAATAATAATAATAATAATAATAAAGTGATCTACTTCGGATGTTGGAGGATCAACGGAGGCGAAAGGGTAGGTGAACCCTCGAGAAAAATGATAAAGGACCGAGTAAGGACTCGGGATTCGTGAGAACACAAATAAGAGGGAAAAGGCGTGAAGCATAGTAAAAACCGTTCCCTAGAAGGCAAGAAGAACCTAAAGGAGCTACTTTCCCCTTATCTCTCATACGCTAACAACTGTCCCCAAGTTGACAACACGAGATCCCTGAGATTGTCTAGAGGAATACCCCATAACAGTGGGATTCAAGCCCAATTGTAAGAAGGCAAGGCCCTCGAGACCCATGAGGAAGGCACAGGCCACGAAACTAGAGGAGAGCCTTCGATGCAACAGGAAAATTCCCACCACAATTGGGGCAAGCAGGAAAAAGCCCACCACAATCTAATGCGTACCCTCCCGTTGACGCCACCAAGGTGTGATGCAATATCAAATAAAGATCCATTCAGGGACACCTAGATCTACTCCGACGAAGCCCCGCTACAACAAAGCCCCTAGCTTGCTATGGCAGAACCCTAAGCTCGTTATGACAAGAAGAAGCTCCACTACGATAGATGATGAAAGCCCCTTACAGCGAAGCCCCAAGCCTGTTACAATGGGAAGAAGTCTCGCTATGACGGATGATGAAGCCTATAATGGCAAAGCCCTAAGCCTGTTATAACGAGAAGAAGCCTCGCTACGACGGACAATGAAAGCTTGTTATGGTGGAGCCCTAAGCCCGTTACAACAGGAAGAAGCCATGCTATAGCGAACAATGAAGGCCTAACCCCATTCCGATGGGAAGATGCCCCGCTATGGCAAATGATGATCCCTGCTATGATGGACGATGAAACCCACTATGGCGAAGCCCTAAGCCCATTACAACAAGAAGAAGCCCCGCTATGACAAATGATGAAGCCTAATATGGTAGAGCCCTAAGCCTGTTTAGGATAGAAAGAAGATATATCACGATGGACAATGAGGTCTGCTACGATAGAACCCCAGCCCACTATGGTTGATCCCTAAGCTTGCTATGTGATACACCGTAAAAAATAAATACTAAAGGGGATATGCTTGAAATACAAAAATCGAGGAACTGACCCGCTCGACCCTGACGAAATAAAGTGGCCAAAAGACTGTCTCGAACTTCCTTAACAGAGCCCCAAAATGATGTCAGCGTTGACCTACTAACTCACCGAAAGACCCACTTCCACCTAAACAGTGATGAGCACAGAGGAGCCCGAACACCTCCCTCTTCCCGCGGCAAGCGATAGAGAAGCAAACTTTCACCCCTGCCGACTGTGATTTTGAGAACATTTATTTATTAAAAATCTAGTCTAGATGGCCACTAATTAGGTTTCACTCCATTTTAAAATAAAAAGAACTACTTAAAACAAAGAAAACAAATAGATCCGAAATTTCATGTAGAAAGATTCCGAGATACAACTTTATGCAGGAAGTGTTATATTTAGAACAAATTTAATGCTAAAATACTAGGAAAATAGTTCTTTTCTGCTTGTAAAATGTTTTATGTATTTTTCATTGCTATAAATACTATTAGAACCTATGAGATAATCAAATAACATTAATTATTTTTTTATAAAAATTATATTTAAGGTGAAATTCAAACTTAGAACCTTACTTTGCCAAGACAACTTCGATAATATCCAAATGCTCTTATTACTTACACTTTTCCATGGGCGATAAGAGTACACGCAGTAAAAAGTCGTCACACGTCCCTATAAATCCAATTGCTAGAAGAGTCATTGGGAGAACGAACAAAGTTAGAAGATCGAGTATGAGCAAGAATCAGCAGTGAGCTTCATGAGCTCATCCACCTGCGCCGAGGCCTCATCCAGGAGCCAATTCTCCAACAAGAACAACGGAGGCTGGTCGCTCTCGGCGCCCAGCTGGGCTTCAGCATCATCGGCTTCTGCGGGTTGGAAGGGCGTCTCCGTCCCGGTGTTCTCCCGGGGAACAGTGTCCATGCTTTCGAAGGAATGCAGCAGGTCGAAGTCATCGTGCGTCATGGGGGCGCAGCTCCCTCGGTCGCCTTCAGCTTGGCTGTTCTCCGTTAGTGAGGCTGCTGTAAGGGCGGTGATGATGTTGCTGTTCTCATCGTCGTCATCGTCGGCGGTGGAGCAGGATTCTTTCGACTTCCCTGGAGCGTTGACCGTTGGCGATGACTGCATCGACCCCTGGAGGAGCCTCGAGATGTTCTCGCTGCTGGAGGCATACCTCGACTTCTGGTGATAGCTGGGGAGTGTGGCGGCGCGGTACTGCTTCCTTGATTCCATCATCTTGTAGATTTGGGACACGTAGTCATGGCAATCGGGCCTAGCATCAGAAGAGGGCTTCTTTCCATCTGCATCTGCAGCTCCCTGGATCTTGTTGATCTTCTTCTTGAGATGTGTGTTCCAGTAGTTCTTGATATCATTGTCGGTTCTTTGGGGAAGGTAAGAGGCAATGGAAGCCCATCTGGCTCACAAACATTGTAGTCCCAAGTTTAGCACTGCAGTCTATGTAGGTAATCCATCATAGTCATGGAATTAAATAGATCCACAACAACTTTAATTAATTCTTATGATGGTTGAGTTGGATGCTCGAGTCCAATTCTGGTCATGGAACATATGGTGATGTGGAGGTGCAAGGTGGAGGAAGGAATCGACGATAAGTAAGTACCTGTTGCCAAGCAAGGATTGGAGATGGATGATGACTCGTTCTTCATGCGGAGTGAAGTTGCCGCGTTTGATTCCAGGCCTGAGGTAGTTAGTCCATCTCAATCTACAGCTCTTACTGCATCTCATCAACCCTGCATGCAGCTTCAACGCAACAGTTAAAAGGCATGCAGGAAGGAACAAAAGAATGCTCAAAACAGTTGTTTGGGTTGAAGTATCCGTTTAGAAGATTTCAGCAAGACAGGAAAGTAAGATGTTGCTGTGTGTTAGAATGAAGTAAAAATTTTCTCTTCTTTAACAAACGAGAGCAGTATGCAGAGGCGATCGACGCATGAGAAGAAGAAGGCAAGATAAGAATATAAGAAGTCGTGTCAAGCCATTGAAGCTAAGCTAAAAGGAAAAGAAGAGGCTAAACACATTACCTGTGCTTGTGGGAACTGATCTCCAGTTTCCAGGTCCATGTTCCCGAATATAAGAGACCAAGACGATGTCCTCCTCGGGAGTCCATGGTCCTTTCTTGATGCCAATGTTATCACAGCAAGGAGGCCTTCCCATCGGTAGAGCTTGGCCACTGCCTCAGTTTCCTATCTCTCTCTGAATCTCTCTACTTTGGCTACCTTTCTTTTTTCTGTCGCCTACAGACGTCTCATGAGCATGTGAGCCTCCTTATATCCACGATGAGACGAGACATGGGAGCTACTTTTCATCTATATCCATCTATCTACCTGATTCGCTTTCTTGCCCATCTCTCCTTTACCTATCATAAAAACGTCGGCCTCTGTTTCCTCCCCAGTCTATTTGCCGTTTACAAGAATCATCAGCACTGCCGTAAACAAGAAACCAGAAATAGCCATTGATCGCCCCTCTCCCCAGTCTATTTGCCGTTTGAGGATATGTCTTGTGCAAGATAAATTATCACGATGATAATGAATTGCTCAAACTATAACAAATGATACTTGGTTTTAAAAAGAAAAAAATCTGCTGCAATATATATTATGAAAAGAAAAGATTGGAAAGTTTGGGATAGTTTTAACAAGTACAAGAACAATCCAATTAATTAAATCCTTGCACAAATATTGCTACACTACAGATTCACGTGTGTCATCAGATTTGATTTGATAATGCTCCTTCTGGTGAAAGCAGAAAGCTCCCACTGGTTATACAGATTTGCACATCCAGATTGGCCCACAAAATGGAAGAATATTAGGTAGGAAATAAATAGTGTAATGCACCTAAAAATAGTGGCAACAAGCTCAGAACACCATTCTAAAGTCATTTTTCAAGCCGGAAGTTTTCCTTTTCTTCATGCCAACACTTTTCTCTGACCACCTCAACACAGCAGATTAATTTCATTTCCATCTCAATATTTCATATATATATATATATATATATAGTTTTGACATCAATTTCTTTGATAGAACTCAGCAGAACGGGCTGACCCAAATAATCTTGCAGTTGTTTCTGGTATAACATATGCAATATCATGTTGACAGCTACCATAATGGCTAACAACGATTAACTTAGCACATAACATATATACTGTAGCTTGTTATAATGTCTCTCTCACTAGTTGCGTAGAGTTAGCACGTCAAATTAAATTAGTTAGTTGGATTGGTGTAAGCAATGAACAACAAGTCCATACTTTTTAACCATTTGAATAAAATATATAATCTCATGCACTGAATGCTTTTGTTTTAATGCAACCAAATCAAACTTTCTGAAAAAAATCGCTAGTGAAGTGATGTCTTACCTAATTCCATTCTTAAATATCCACAAAATTCTCTGCAAGAAAGGAAATGCATACAGTACCCAGAAAGCTACCTGATATTTTCTAGCTGATATATGAGTAATGGCATTTGCAACCATAGCATAACTGCAAAATAAATGAGCAGAAAAGTTGATGCATAACGTCCCAAATCCCATTCTTCCCCCAAGCAGGAGAACACATGCGGCGATAACAAAACTGTTGTAGAAGAGTGGTGGTTTGAGCTTCAAAATCGCGGTAAATTTGCTATTATGAGTACTGTGTTGACTTCCTTACAAAACTGGAAAGACAAAACGAGAGAAGATAATAAAAGAAATGCAAAATACATTTACTATACAGTGTCTCATTCAGATCACCTATTTATATTGGGTTAATTATAAATTATCCTATATAGTTAAGTATCTTTAGTATTTCGATCTTTGTATTTTCGAATATTATATTGAGATCCTTATACTTATGAAAGTAAAGTATTTAATCTCATTTCTTCTTAACTCATCGACTTTGTTGACAGAAATATCGTAAAAATATCGAACGTGCTGTCACGTAGAAAATTGACACTAAAACATATTAAAAAGATAATTTCATAGTATTATTCTCATCGATATTAATTTCTCCTTTTGTAACTTTTGTGAAAGTAATAGTCGAGAAAATAGCAATTATGCAGTAGTCAACGAACGAACAAGGAAGAGGTAAGATCACAAGAGAGAGATCATTTATACTTCTACTCATATGTGCCCTACAAGTTAATCACGTAAATAATGACACGTGTGACATGTTACATAGTCTTTTTGCTTATTATTATTATTAGTATATTCTCACTTTATGTTGTCTATTGCATATATCGTGATTTCCTTGGATTTGTGCAATAAGAATTGGATCATAATGAGATCATGAGAATGAGATCAATTCATCTATAAACACATACCATAAATATTCCTGGTCATAAGTTACTTAAGAGGGATATCGAGATAGCTAGACAAACTAGTATATTAGATATTCATCCATATGATGGAGAAAACTAATCTCATAACTACTCATATGAAAATACTAGGGATATAGTACAAAAGCTCATTAGAGAATGAGTTTATTGAATGATTTGCTTATGAAATATTCGATGGTTGATGATACTTCATTATCAAATAATAATTCCATGGTCCGAATTGTGTATCTGATCCTTAGACTTGAGACACCAAGGATGTCCTATATGAGTACTCCACTCTTTGATACCGGACTTATAGATCTAGAAGTTCTAAATCTTGCACAGTCGATTATCGGGAGTAGTAACGAACCTTACGAGGGCAATTGAATGTCAATAGAGGATCATTTGCTTTCAGTATCATAAGAGGAATATCTCATGCATTCTTGCTCAAGCAAATCCCTAGCTAGGGTTATTCGAATTGATAGAAAATAAGTTTTGTGGGAGAATTTGATTAGAGTGAGACTCGAATAGACTCTATATGGACCTAACAATATCATACCCGATATATGGTCTCTAAGATATTAAATAGATGAGGGACAATAGATGTATGATAGTTGAGGACAGATAAGTCCAATGGATTGGATCCCTTTGTATCATTTAGGAACTATGGCGTAATGGCCTAGTACGTCCATAATCGACGAGTCAAGTGAATTATTATAGAAACAATAATTCACTAAGTCAGAAGGAGTTTTGATAGATATAATTCATGGCTAGTTCAATATTGGGCCTAGAGGGTCACACACATATGGTAGGTGTTGCAACGAGTAAATGTTTGAATATAAGATATATGTTGAGCCCTTATTTTATTGGATATCCAATAAGCCCTTGTATAATTGGATCATTTGGGTAAGACCCAGTAAGAGCAAATAGTGATTATTTGATAGAGATCTATTAATTAAAGAGACTTGGGTAGTGTTAGGACTGAAATCAGCACTAAGAGGGAGGGGGGAGGGGGTGAATTAGTGCTTTTGATAAAAATTACATTGATACAAAAATCTCATTTGATAAAGCCCATATCGAAAGAATGAGTTTAACTTGAAAGCGTTCTTAAACGTAGTGAATAAGTAAATTAGTTTACAATATAAATGAAAAGTATAAAGTAAATACAAACCAGATTTATAGTGGTTCGGTCGTCGTGACCTATATCCACTCTTGATTCCTCTTCACTCAAGGCCACCGGCTTCTACTATTGATCTTCTTTCAACGAGCAAAGATCAACTACCCTTACAACTCTTTCTCTTTTTCACAAGTTCAGGAGAGAACCTTTACACCCCTCTATTACAAGTATTCCCTCACACTCTCCCTTAGAACAACCTATAAACATATAGAGGAGGGAACTCAACTTTCTAATAGGGTTTACAACCTTTGAATCACAGGGTTTTATTTTACTTTTCATGCTTTCTTAAGTAGGAAAGATCGGAGTATTTATAGACCCCAAATGACTTTAAAATTTAAGGCCAAAATTTAAATCCTCAGGTTTTCGAGGTATTGGAGGTACTATCGCTAATACTGGGTGGTACCATCACTTGCCAATCTAACACTTGACGGTACCACCACTTCACACTAGGCGGTACCACCACTTGACACTAGGCGGTACCACCGCTTGACAGCCTAAAAGGTGTACTCTTGACTTTTCTAGCTCATACGTGGTTCCACCTAACCTTAGGTCACCGAATGAGACTTCCACTTGGCCCCAAACAACTCCAACTCTGGCCTAATGGGCCCCTAATTGAGTTAGCCTGATTATACTCGAAACTAACTTAATTAGACCTAACTACTTTGATCTAGACAAATTATTATAAGTATGAATCCTATATTGTCCATCATATCATTGGTTTATCTAGTACTTCATCCGATCTTTCGGCGCATCATCCTCTCCTTTAGCATATTGCCTAGTCGGTATGTTGACCTCCATAACATCTAATCTCCTTAGCACAATGTCTGATCCTTGGGCCCGATGCCCAAACTCATGGCACGAAGTCCTTCTGTCGGTACGTTGATTGATCCTCCGACTTGACGTCCATTCTCCTTACATGTTTCACTCCGGCCCAACATCCGATTCCTCTTGCTTTAATCGATTTACCTTTTTTTATCAAAGTTAGTCCTACGTCACTCATAACGCATATTAGATCATAAACTCATTAATTGATTTTATCATCAAAATCTGAGATTCAATAATCTCCCCCTTTTTAATAATGACAACCAATTGATGCTTGAGTTTAAACTAAACTCCCCCTATCAACATGCCATAATTTTAATTATGAATTATATGCAATACATCATATCATTACTTACATCATAACTTCAAGTAGTGCATCCAAACCATCATACATAATAAAATTTCATTATACAATGCATGATCATCATCACACCTTAGCTATTGAACTTTCCAGCTCATAGGTGGTTCCACCTAACCTTGGGTCACTGAATGGACCTTCCACTTGGCCCAAAATAGCCCCAACTATAGCCCAATGGGCCCCTAATTGAGTTAGCTTGATTACACTTGAAACTAACTCAATTAGACCTAAACTATTTCAATCTAAACAAATTATTACAAGCATGAACCCTATATTATCCGACATGTTATTGGTTCATTCGGCGCTTCATCCGATCTTACAATGCATCATCCTCTCCTTTAGCGTATTGACCAATCGACATGTTGACTTCCGCAACATCCGATTTCCTTGGTGGAATGTCCGATCCTTCGGCCCGATGCCCGAACTCATGGCACGAAGTCCTTTTGTCAGTACGTCGACTGATCCTCTGGCTCGACATCCAATATCTTGACATGTTTCACTCTGGCCCAACATTTGATTCCTCTTGCTTTAATCGATTT